CACTCTTTTATAATCCGAAATATGACTATATTCCGGGAGAAGGCTATGCAGAGGATTTTTAAGTAATCAGCTTAACTCCTCATCTGTACAGTTTTAGAGACAATTATCATTTCAAGGCGCTTGAAAGTTTGTAACTTTAGCTATTGTATGTGACAAGGTGGTTTTCTTTGTGTGAACCTCAATCTGAAAATTTAGTAGATTAGGAATAAATGTTATTTTTGTATTTATCGCCACAACTATTTTTTTGGCTTAGTGCCTGCCAATAAGAGTACAGTGCAAAGAAGTTTCAGGCTATTTACTTCAGCATGCGTTGTCGAAGTTTTTACTTCTGATATTTCTTGCGTGACGCGATTTTGAGCAAGATTTGGTGTTTTTAATTGTGGCAATTCTTGTTTTCTTTTTCCTTATTTGGATAGTAAAGATTTATGCCAATTTTAGAATTATTTTAAGCTTTTCAGAAGTTGTTCATGCGGGAAGTTGAAATATTGTTAGTAGCTGTAATATTCAGTTGCTGTAGAAGACTTCTTCTTCATGATTATTCTTTTTCCAAGTTTTTTAGAGTTGTCGGGCTATTTAATTACAGAACTACTATTTTTTTAATAACTTATTGGCAATATTTTCCGTAAGAATTCTTAAACGCTTTTTTTTAGCTGCTACATTCATTCTAGATTGTTTTGCCTATTATTTTTTATTAGATATTTGACGTGAAATTTTTTTCTGCTCACTTTCGTACAAATATCCTTGTAAAGAATTTTTCTTTTCAGAACTGATTACAATTTAATGGTAATTTTGCAACCAAGCAAAAGTGTTAGGATGTTTCTTGAAGTATCCAATAAGTGAGGTAATAAGATGTAAAGTGTTTCCGCTGTATACTTTGGTGTTGCTTGAGACTGTCGGAGTGGCTAAAAGATGGTCGAGCGGGGATCTTTTTTTTTCTTTTTTTTTTCAACTTACCGCTGTGCGGAAGCGTAGTTTAAGGAACGCAACGTAGTGTTCTACAGAATTTTAACTTTGTTATATGCATACGACTTAACACTGGGCCTGGGAAATGTTATGCAGTATTCATAAGATCAGAAGCTTATGTATTTTTATTTCAAGCGGAGATTATTTGATTTTTTTTCTTTTAAGTAATTTTTTAAGCACGCATTAAATTTTTGTCATTTTTTCTCTGCGTAATTTATTTATTAACTTGTT